GCGTTCTGGTTAGCAGTCAAGTGCCTTAGGCAATATGCTACCAGAGCTCCTGGAGAAGGCTTTAGGGATCTGATAACACTCTGAGCACTTATACATGCGGCCACCCTCGCTTACCTTCACTCACCCACCAGTTAACTTTCTTTACTGTTGGTTCCCAGGTAATTCCTTTCCCTTTTCTTCCTGTCCCCTCACTCTGCTCTCCTCCCTACTTTTCTCAACATCTTTGTCTTCTCTATAGTCCTTCTCTTTCACTTCTCCCCTCCCCTCTCCCTTTTTCCCTTGCCCCTTTCTGTCTATTCCAGACTTCAGGCATGGGTTCCTCCTCACCTATCAGGAAGAGTCTGGGGGCAGGTAGGACTGGGTGGACAAGTGCAAACTTGAGCAGGCTAGTCACTGCCATCCCTTCAAACTGCGATTTCTGATTTATTGCCTGCTTATTCCATGCATGGCTGAGGCTTTGGGAAAGAATGGCACATACTCCTTTCCTCTATTGTCTCTGGCAACCCAGAGCTGGTTCCAAACTTGCATGCCCCATTTCTTAGAACAAAAGTGCTACAGTCCACAGAACCCACCCTCCTCAGGAGGCAGCTGTAACAACCATCTGTTGTTGCTTAAGCATACCCTTGGGATCTGCCACCCACCCCACCCCAAGTGGTTTCCAAATATTCCCACCATCCTCAAACAGTATTCCCTTAACAAGAGTTCTTCTCAACTTAGTGCTCCTCATTTCATTATGCTTCCAAGGACATTTCGGTTTCCTTTATAGAGTATGTCCCAGGCCTACTCCTTAATTAGGCTCTGTTCAGGGCAGAGTCCACTCCCCATTGTTCAGCTGGTCAGTCACAGCCTGCAGCCCCCACTTCCCTTGGACCACTCACTCACCCCTTTCCCTGTGCAGGCTTTCTTCTTCTCCTGTGTCTCCCCTTTTTTCTCCTCCTCCTCCACTCTAATCTCTGGCCCTTCATTGAGCTTTTCTGCTTCCTGACACGCTCTCACACTTCTGGGACTGTGTGAGCTAATATACTTTAAGAAAGATTTGGGAAACCTTCTCAGGGTGGTCTGGGTAGATTCCTACTCTATATATAACGGTAGTTTTTCCCATAACAAACCTTTTCAAGAAATATTTATCATCTAAGTCACAGGCAACTTTCAAACTGTGTCCATAAAGTAAGAAGGTGAAAGTACATATTAATATTGTTGTTGTTGTTGTTATGTGCCGTGGAGTCGGACCTGACTCATAGTGACCCCTCCTTGAGTTTCCCAGGCAGTATCACTACAGAAGTAGATTGCCCCATCTTCTTTCCAAGGAGTGGCTGGTGGGTTTGAACTGCCAGCCTTCTGGTTAGCAGTCAAATGCCTTAGCCACTATGCTACCAGAGCTCCTATATTAATATTATTAATTAATATTATCAATTAATATTATTAATAATATTAATATTAGAACATGAATATGTCAATATTGTTGAAATATACACTTAAGATACTATTTTAAAAATTAAAAAGTTATACATGGCTACAATTAAGTAAAAATATGTATTTATACCCTGAAAAACGTAGAGGTAAATTTGGAATTATGTAAATGGAACAACTAAACTGCTGAAACAATTTTAAACAAATGAACCTAAATAGATAATATTTAAATGACTCTTGTCTACTTTATAAAAAGCCTAACAAGGTATTTTTTTTCAACACTGCTGTTACATCATCAGCTGAAAATATATTTTGAATTCCTCTTCCGGAATGGTCTTTAGAGCCAATTTAGTAGACACTGAAGAAAATTAGACTCTGTTTTAGTAGCTTTTAAATTTATTTTTATCATTATAATGATGAGTACCCAACTTTGTCCTGTCTTACTTGATCACCCCTGTACACTTTATCCATTAATTTTGATGTCAAATTATTTTTTGCTGTTTCTAAAACTTTCATGTGCCTTTGAAGAATAAAGATTTGCCATCATCAAAACATGAACATGCCACAGACTTTGATGCCAATTCGAAGAATAGCAGAATCCTAAGAATGAGTGAATGGCTTTACCAAAATAGAAACTTCAAAGGTGCTATCACTCATTGGATGCTTAAGTTTTGGTACTTTTGTTTTCAAATCAGCTACAGTTCTTTCTGATATGCTCTCTGACCACCTATTTGATTGTTTTATTAACTTTCCTGAGAGTTCTTTAAGTTAAGTGAGATAAAATTTATTTCCCACATGTTAACAAAGTAGATTGTAAGTTTGTAAAAAATATAAATTATTACTAAAAAATGACACTGATAATTTATTAGTATTTTGGTTCACAACATGGTAACTTAAGAACTCCACTGATACAACAATGTGAGATTCATGGTTGGCTTGCTCAGGCCTAAGGAATATAATTTTTTGCTTTTTAAATTAAATTGTCTCTTCAGAGGCCAACTGACCTTAACCAATGCTTAAACTAAATGACCTCGCTGATTCAGTGAAAATAATTTACCTTAAATGTGGCAAAGGCATCTGAAGCAATATCAAATGTTGACAACTCCACATATTTAAAGAAATCTCTGAACTGATTAGAGAAGAGGATGATTTTGGCAAGTGGCTCATGTCGAATACATTCTCTCAGCATCATCCCACAACGTAAGGCAATCTGTGGGGCTTCATATCTAGAGCATAAACAAGAGAGAAACAAAAAACTGTGTTATCCTATTAGCACTCTTATTAATACTAATGTTATCAAAAGAATCATTTCAATATGGGCAGTCTCTGACTTACCATGTACTCAAGTTACTATAAATGACACTATGACTGTCTTTTTTTTTTTTTATATATACATCTTATCATTAGTAATATGCACTACATAAAATGTTGCAGCATATAAAAGGAACACGTAGACATCTCTCACTAGTCTTCTGATTAGAAATGCCATCCTTATTCCCAGGGATAATCCAGATCATACAGAACATTCCAAAAATGGAGTTAATTCTACAACTGACAAAATGTTGATATCATCCATTTTTTTAAAAGAATATGTGTGTTTTTTATGTATGTATGTATACATATGCATGTATGTAATATATCTATAAGTTTATATGTCATGTTTCCAACCCCAAGGGACAAAGATCTGATTTATAAAGATACTGATAATAAAAGGCAATAATAATGAGAAAATAAATAAAAGAAAAGAAAAGAGGTATTCAACTTACGTCAGAACCAACTTACGATGGGGTTGTCAGAATGGAATGAAGACTACCTGTACTACTGTTAACAGAAGCATAGATGCCAATCACCATAGTTCATTTACACATCAGTCACTTGATACCCACTGAGTATCTGCTATGTGACCAAAGATACAACAGTAAACATGACAAAAATCAATGCCTTCATAGTGATCATATTTCTAGTGGATATGTGTCAGGCTTGGGAAGGAGGCTGACTATAAACAATGAAAAGATAATTTCATTTACTGAGAAGTGCTGTGAAAACTGAAGACAACACAACAGGTAATATATTGAGTGTGACCAGGGGACTACTTTAGACTGCGTGGTCAGGAAAAGGGAAAAGCCTGCTGGGAAAAGGCCCCAAGGCAAGAACAAGCTTGGTGACTCAGAGGCAGGGAAACAAGACCAGTGTGCTTGGGACATAGGGGGAAGAGTAGTGAGTGGTATGAAGGAAGACATGAGTGGTGAGCAGGGCAAGGTTGGATCAGATACTGCTTAATAAGCCAAAGTAGGGAGTTTGGTTTTTATTTTAGGAATAATGGGAAGCCATTGGACTTCTAAACAAGAAACTAACATGGCCTAGTTTATGTATGGAGACGTTCATTCTGGTTACTTGTAGAGAATCTATCTTAATGGAGAAAGGAATGTGCTGGAAACCAGAGTACAGCAGGGAGACCAAGTATGGGAAGGAACAGAAGTCCAATGAGAGATGAGGGTACCCAGCTCGCAATGGTAGTGAAAGAACAGAGAAAACTGTGGATAATTGTTTGGAAGAAAAGTCAAGAGGACTGCTGATACGCTAAAGAATAATGTAGAATCTGCAAAACACCGCATAACGTGGATGAACTTGGAGGACATTATGCTGAGTGAAATAAGTCAATCACAAAAGGACAAA